AACTGGTCACATTTGTCTTCATGGGAGTGAGATCTTTAAAATATTTAAATGGTTGATTTGGCTTACTGTACTTTGCTCTTAACTTTATCATACATCCCAACCTGCAAAACCTTCTTTAAAGGCGGTGCCCTTTTTATTTTATTTTTTATTTTGCAGCTGCCGTCAGAATAAAAAAAAAACAACAACAAATAGCATTGGAGTGAATAGCTAGTCTGCTATTGGCTATTTCAGTTTGCTATAGCCAATAGCAGGCTGGCTATTACACCCACCTGCTGCTGTCAATCGGCAAAGGAAGACCTGAAGGAGAACCTGAAGGAAAAAGATCAGACAGCAGGGGTAGTAGAACCACCAAGTACCATGGAAAGGTTTACTCTGCTAAATAGAGCAGAGTAAACCTTTCCCGGATGAAATCTTTCTCTCGCCGGCGTCAGGGAGCCGCTATCTTATAGCGGGAGACTCCCGGAACATCCAGGAGAGTTGGGATGTCTGCTTTATTAAATAATCGTGCTGCGAAAATTTAGGAGATTGGGGACATAGAGGAGCTTACTGTGACTATGTAACTTGGAGACAAACAATTTTGACGCACATAGTTCTATTGGACATATTTCATGTGTTCACATTATACAGGTCCCTGACTTTGGAAGCAAACGTTTGGAAGACAGAGAAGGAGAGTAATGAGTAAATTGGTAGGATTTCCCTATTTCTCTTTAACAAGCTCCTGGCAGGTTCCATTCCCATTTCCCCTCCCCATTTTTCTCATGTCAATGCCTATTTTGGACATGTTGTCCTGACATTTTTCACATTTGTATTTGAAGTGTGATTGTATACCTTTTTGTATTAAGAATTAAAATAAAATAAAAAATCATGTTGATATCAGTTCTAAGACAATTTTATCCTGAAAAAGTAAATTTCACCGGCGCCAGCACTCGCGACTATTCATGAACACAGCCCGAGTACACTCATGAGGCAGCTCCCACTGTTCAGGGTAAACCGGCAAATCTATGAAACACAAAAACAAAGGAGCGCCTCCATAGTGTAAAACAGTTTTAATAAAGAAAAAAGAACCGCTAGGACTGTATTTACAAACGACTTTTGAATTCAGGCATGTAAAATTGGGTGGGTTGGCCTCTGAAACTCGTCAACCCGTGGAAGACCTGCAGTTAGAAGGCTCTGGTGCAGCACTAATTTATTTGAATTGCAACTCTGATTTCGTTCACCCATCCAATTTTACATGTCTGAATTCAAAAGTCGTTTGTATGTACAGTCCTTGTTCTTCTTTTTTCTTTATTAAAACTTTTACACTATGGAGGCGCTCCACAATTTTATCCTGTACTAACTTAAATACTGACATTTGGTATTCTGACTCCGATCGTTGTGATAGCGAGATATATCCCTTGCTGAGACCTCTATGCCTGGCCTGTATAAGCAGATATACTCACTGCGGACAATCCTCGTCAGATAGCTGAACTCGTCAATACCGATTCATTCAAAAGAGGTGTTTATTCTTTAACATCAGGGTTACAGCAGATGATAGGAACAGCAGTTGAACGGTTATAGTATTGTGCGGTCAGAAAATGATGCCTTTCCTACGTACTGTGCAGATTACCTGTGTGTCCTTGTTACATGTGGCTTTCAACTGCCCATGACACAGGAAGTACTGCACACAGGAAGAAGGGTGGGGCTACACTAGGGGAAATACATCGTCACATGAGGAATAATTACAGAAAGCATGTTTGTTACAACAAAGGGCCACTAGATGGCAGCATAGGATAAGACATGAATTTAGCTATGAGAAAATAGTTAGGCAAATCACACTATATAAATTCTAACCTATATAACAATGCTAATATTAACTGAGGCTATGCATCTCATATTCTATGCCCCTGTTGGGGCGGCACATTTGGTACTTGCTTTGTGCATGCCTAATACTAGTAAACCATTTTGATGAGAGTCTAAACCACTGCCTGCCTTAAAGTTCAGTCATGTAAAAAAGTAAGTACACCTCATGGAAATTGTTGACTTTCTCAACATGTTTGATCAGGCAAACATTAGATCTTCATTCAAACAGTGCCCATAGATATACTTGAACAAATGACACATAAAGTTGACATGGTGTATTCGTTCTCATGATCTAAATCAGTATTTCTGAACCAGGGTACCGTGGCACCCTAGAGTGCCTTCTGGCTTCCTCAGAGGTGCCTCATTTTCCCACAGTGTCATGCCTTCGATCTGAAGAGGGCTTGTGATATGAAGTGGGTGACTCATCTGAAAGGAGGGGCTTCTGATGTGAAGGCGGGCTCCTGATGTCAAACAGGTGAAAGGAGGGATTATGATTTGATAGGGTAGGGTAGAGGGGGGGCTCTTAATGTGAAGGTGGAACCCCAGCTTTTTTTCATGTTTTTGCGTGGGTCCACTCTTAAAAACCGTACCAGATCCATATCACATGTCTATTTTTACATTGAAGGTTCGGGTAGTAAATGTGAAAGGGAGAATCCCAAAGGCTTTGTGGGCCTCCCTCCTTCTCCTGGAATGTCATCCTCCTATGGTCCCGGGGAGACATAGCACCCTCTGTGGGATTTTTTAAATATCTAGCCAACTGTTGCCCGTGTTTTTCCTAATCTGCTGTGGTTCTGCCTTAGAGTAAGCATTCACCGAAAAAGTTCCTAAACAAAAAGCCTCCCTGATGAAGCTTCAATGCCAAATGTGTTGTGAGAAAAAGAAACTACAAGCCCTCTGACCTAATATACAGTATATTGAATAATGACCAGATGGTTGTGTAAATACATGTGATTAAGGGCTAGTTCACACACCAAGCGCAGAGCAGTTACAGAACAAATCAAAACTTCGTCCAATGTATTCCAATGGTATTTTGGGCTCTAGTTAACACCAGAGCGTTCAGTTCCAGAGCATGTAAGAAAACTGCAGCATGCCCTATTTTCTATGCTCTTGAACGCACCAAAACGCATGCAAGCGCATCAAAATCACATGCAAAAACACTGAAAGCCCATTTTAAAATGTGGCAAAACACACTGCCCTGCATGTGCAGAAACTCATATGGTCTGGATTTGGTGTGAACAAGCCCTTCATTATTAATTATCTTTAGAGGTACCAACAAATCTGTTCAGGCCATTTTAGAATATTTTTGTAGAATAGGCAAAATGTACTTATTGTCACACTTTCTGTGCTTTACTTTATGATAAAAGGAATGCAGGTATGCATGAGACAATTGCTTTCAAAAACGCATGCAAACGCCCTGGAATGCACTGAAAACCCATTTTAGGCTAAAAATTAAAAAATGCAGCAAAACACACTGCACTCCATGTGCAGAAACTCGTGCAGATCTGGTCTGCATTTGGTGTGAACAAGCCCTTAGACGTACAGAGTTGAATATGAGACAATATATAAGGGCTGTAGTTTTCTTAAAGCAACTGAATAGGGGGAATACTCAGACAAATTATATGAATTTTTAGTATTGTATGTACAATCAAATATTGGATTCTAACTGTTGTAAAATAAATGCTATTTTTTAACAGTAACACAACATTGTGTATATATGCCTCATGTAAACCCCATATTTGTATATATTGGTGTTATAAGGATTCAGGGGGAGAGGGAAGGAGAAAATGTGTGCATGATCTGTAGGAGGGTTAACTAGTTGGCATTCTTTAAAAAAATCTAATTGAAATGTTAGGGGCAGGTTTTAAAAGGCGTAATTCATGCAAGGAAAGCCATAAATATTGTGCAACTGAAGAAAGCTTGCATGGAGGGGTGTACAGAATTTTCACAAAAACTGGTGGGCAGTTGTGCAAAATGCTTGCAATAAGTCATTCCTGCTAAAGGGGGCAACAGCTTCTGAGGGCACGAGTCTACTTACTTTTTCTATAGTACATTGTCACATTGATATTTGTGCTGAATTACTGAAACCGCAAATTTTCCCTGCGTTTTTATTTAAGTTTATTGCCTTTTGTAAACAGTGTGTTCATTTACTTGTACAACTTTTATCATATAATATTTGCCAGCTCAATTTATCCTGGGATGCTTGGGTATATCTAAAACCAATCATTAAATCACATAAAAGACTACTGTTAATTAATGAAATGAAGGTCCTTTCTTGGGGACTTCCTGTTATGCAGTGGTTCCTAATTGTGCTCCTGTCACATGTGAAGGCTTGTCCACCATTGCCACTTTCAGGAAGGTGACCTAGATCAATGATGTCCAGGTGTAGACAGGGAATGGCGGTACAAAAAAAGGTGAATACCTGTGAAAATAATATTTTATGGTATAAAATCATGGTAATTGTTTGCACAGTGCTTTAGTAATGTAAATGTTAGTGCTAGGTAACAAGATGTATGTACATCAATAAAATGATCACTTCTTGAAAATTTAACCACAGTGTGCTGGTGACATACTTTACTACTTTAGTAATGTAAGTGACACTAAATTCAGGAGTGAAATCTTAAAAATGAATTCAAGTACCTTAACTATGAACAAAAATGTATCTTAATTGTGTATTAGTCCGCTGTAGATCCTCAAATCATCTCTGAATTCATGCTGACACTGACCTTTTTTTGGAGGGTGACTACCTACTTTTGTTCCCCAAACTCACTCTCTTGTGGCCGCTGCCCCTGCCAGATGATGCAGATGCCACATGCCCCCACCCCCTCCCTCCTCAAATGGCGAAAAGGCTAGGGACGACCCTGATAGTTGGGTGTTATCTATGTACATGGGAGCAGCCATATTCTTCTCCTCACTTCTGATTGACTACCATTGACTTTCTGCAGCAATATTTTGGTAGCCAGCAACCATGTGACCTATGCTTGCAGCAGATAAACTGATGACTTTTATTCATTGCTTTTTATGCAGAATAATAATTTGATCTGGTAATACTGACATTTTAGTTGTGTAAAGTGGGAATTTTATTGATAGGTTCATATAAAGAAATAACACTTGAAAATATTTTATTTAATTGAGCTCTTGCATTAAAAATAAGGACTTTTTGTTTGTTTACAGGTAAATTAGTGACATTAAATACCCCAACGATGGCTTCCAGTTCATCCCAGGAACTCAGGAGATCTAAAGGAGTTGATGTTGAGAATGTCCCTGTACCCAGTCCAAGAAACCTGTCTGCAACCAAAATTTCAAGTGTAGAAAAGAGTGATGCTCTTCAAGTCAATAAGTCAAGGCAAGTCTGTACTCTAGAAAGTACTATATATTGTGTGAATTATATATTATTTTGTGCGAATGTATACAATTTCTGATTGTATTTCTGTGTGTATATGGTGGCAGACATATTTGCGCATTATGCCAGCTGTGCTGCTCGCTTAACATGGCCATACACTGGTATGACTCGGCTGACATTCATCTAGTGTATGGCCCACATGCTACCCCCCTTTCCCTTCCCTTTCCCCTTTAGTTGACTTTTGTTGAAGGAAGTGGATCCAAAAATTCTTGGCCGAACAGTGACTGCAACCATTCACCTCCAGTCACTGTTCAGGTATTTTGACAGTGGCACACTCTCCGCTGTCAGAATACAATGATCTGGAAGGGGGATTCCCCCGTCATTACTAAAACAAGAAAAACACAATCAGTGTATGGCCAGCCTTAGTGAGGCCTTTGCTAATTGTCTGGGCAATTTCATTAAAACCATAAACTATCTTTAGTTTTTAATAAGGTGAAATAACACATGTGCTAATGTTACTAGATGCCAAAGCTATAGGTCACATAAGTGATTAGGTAGGGGTAGATTTAAATTCATATTAAGAAACATGGCTTTTTTACTCAAACCGATTTAGTAATACCAATATATACCCTATTAATTCATGGAAAATGGATAGGTCCATTTTTGAGTTCCCATTCTGGTTTCATATGGTGTTATTTTTATTCTCTCTTATTGACTCAAATTAATACATTTCATTAGCATATTGGTGTATTCTAAATACAGTGATGGGCCATGGCTTTTGCTTCTTTTCCTAAACCAATTTTTCAGGATAACACAAACTGTATTTAAAATAAAATTCTTGTGTTGAAGCAAAGTAGTCCCTCCAGAATAGGACCAAAACCTGTCTCATATAATGTCTGCTGTGCCACCCTGTTGAACTATGTCAACTTACACTACAAAACTGAGCCCTGCTGCTGCTTACAAGAAGCATGTAGGGTTGGTAGAATGGGTAATGTTTTCCATCCTTTTTTAAAACAATTGTTAATCATTCTCAATATCTTCTAATCTTGTCATTATTGGAAGAAAAATAATAGTTTTCATCTTGCGGAAGGAATTTGCTATTTAGCCTTTACTTACGATTCTGTAGAAGGCAGATTCTGTAATGTGCGGTATTTGCCTATTTCCTGCAATTAGGTGATTAATAGATGGATAGCTCTGCATATGAATTTGTTTCTGTTTTCTAAACTAGCGGTTCTAGATCACTAGCATAACGTTATGATCTTCTTCCACTATCCTTAATTAGAACTATATACCTTGTATTTTGATAATATAGCAGTACCTACTGGTTAAAAAAGACAATGTACTCCATGTATTTTTTTTTATCCACCTCACCATAACTCATAGGTTGGAGTTGGGCTTTAAAAGCAATTATATTATATAGTTACATAGTATTTGAGGTTGAATAAAGACATTAGTCCATCAAGTCCAACCTATTAGGATCTCATTCTAGGAGTACCCGTACCCCTGTATATTACGGTCCCTTAAGAAATCGTCCAAAAACAATCTTTTCTTTAGCCATTACCATTATGGTCCCGGTAGGTGACCTGGGAGTAACAGGGTATCACCATATGAATCAGTAGCATTGAACAACCATATCTATTGATATGGCATATTTTATAAATGTAGCTTCTGTTGCCATTGGAAGAGCCAGTAAGCCAAAATGAAAGTTTTGGCTCACAGTACAGATGCTCCTTGGGTTGCGATGGATCTGTTTACGATTTTTCAACTTTACGATAGCGGCAGGGCCCTCACAGGGTCCTCAGTCTGTCACGCAGTCACTAGTGTATACAGTATGTCATAGCCTAGCCGAAAACCTTCCTGAAACACTTACATTTACCTACAGATGGACAAAAGCCTACTGTATTTAATAATCGATCACTAGTCATTTGACTACAAGCTAACACAACTTTTTCTCCTGCTTCAGATACATTTTGTAAATTTTATGAGATGTATTGGAATAACAAATCACTCTAAAAAATAAAAGTCTATACCATACTTGTAATGTTATGTGAAAAGCCCACTCAAACAGAATTCATACAGGTTCATTACATTTTATTGTCCACTTTCCAGTCCTGCAAAACTTTATTTTGTCACAACCACAACTTTTTTTTCTGGAAGTTCATCCATTAGTATTTGCTTACCAGAAAGTTAATACAGTGTAGCAGAGCATCCCAGAGGGAGCCTGGGAAAGTCCTTTTCAGAGTTGATAGGTCTCCCAGGTTCCTCTCCTATACATTTAGGAATTGCTGATCCGGGCTCCAGTGCAGGGTTTACTCCTCTCTCCACTGGCACTTTAAGCTCACCTGGAACCTGTACTCTGTACTCAGAGCTCTGTGCGTGGGGATCAGACAAGTCCTGTCTAAAGGTGCCCATACACTGCACAATTCTCGTACGAGAATCGCGGGAAATCCCGCGATCGTACGAGAATCGTGCAGTGTATGGAAGGCGTGCGACCGTTTGTACTGTACGGTGGCACGTCTTCCGTCGAACCAGCATGCTAGAAAACCCGCCGGGAAGCGTACGATTCTCGGCGAGTTAGTGGCCTGCTGGTTCGACAACTGCCGAACGGGCCGGTGTGCGCACGCGCACACTGCCCGTTTGCAGTCATCGTAAGCCCGCCCCTCATTACAGTCATCGTAAGCCCACCCCTCAGGGGGGCGGGCTTGCGATGATCGAAATTACGATCTGCCTGTCCAAGATGGGCAGATCGTAAGTTTTTTAAAGTACTTTACAACCATCGCAACACTAAGGTCTTGCGATGGTTGTAAAGTGTATGGCCACCTTGAGAGAGCTGCAAGGTTGGTGCAAACTTACAGTTTTCCACACTGTGGAGGCTGACAAGTGGTAGGCCTGCTCAGCCGGTTAGTTAGGAGCTATATCTTTTGTTTGTGAAGTTAGGGCCGGGATACAGCTATGTTTTATTTTGTTGATTTCTTGTGAATCACTGTACAGCACCTGTGAATGCTTTTGTTAAATTCACTAATAAACACTGCACTGTTTGCCACTATTCCCCTGGATTTGGTATCTGTGCCCCAGAGACTGCTTATTCCCAGGGGGCTTATGTGCCAGCTACTGATCGCCTGATCACAACAGCTATATACTGTATATGTGCAAAGTACTTAACAACTAAAACAGCTATCCAAGAAAAAACATCTACTCAATGAACATTAACTGTTTTCTAACGTTTGTGTCACAGGACAGAACAACTAACGCTTAAATAGCAAGAAAACTTTCCTTTTTAACTTCATCCTTAATGCCATGCATTGCTAATGGAACAATTGGCTTAGCCCCATAGTTGCCTGCTTAATATGTAAAGGAGGTGTACAGAGCATGACAGCACATGGCTAGTTGGGATAAGCGGGAGACAGCTGTCATGTGATTGGCTCTTGCTGAATAAATATTTCTCTACTCCTCACACAGTGACAGGCCAGATTTGCAGGCAGCCTCCAGCACCCTGGAATGGGGGAAGCAAGACATGACATTGTTACAGGAGCTGGATTATCTGAGACAAACCAATAAAAAGGTACAATTCACAGTTTCCATATTTTACTTACGCAGTGGGGCCACTATCTGGCTTTGTTTATTGTTATGTTTAAAATAAAAGAACAACTGTGGTTGCTTTTTTTTTTTTTGTTGTTGTTGCTGCTCCTCTTTGGAGTTTCCGTTCTGCTACATTGGAATGTTGGTGTTGCTAGTCCTGGAGCCATGTTACATAAAGGGAACCTGTCCCCAAGAAGAGTGGATGTGCAGCGATTTACTGCATTGAGCCAGAAGCACTTAACAATGCTTTTATAGCTACACCTAAACATAGAGTTGTGTAGAATAAAGAACACTGCAGATAATTACTCAAAAAACCTACATACACAATGAATTCTAAAATTATACTAGAACATTAGTCTGGATATTGGCTGCCTCTTTCAAAAAATTACGTATATGTGATAAAACACAATTATAAAGTGTCTAGTTTTTTTACAGTGTATTTCAAAATTCATCCTGGGCACATTTTTAATGTACAAATTATATATATTATACAAATAATATAGCTTAGTGCTTTAGAGTTGGTAATTTTAAATGGAGAATGCTCCAATTTTATGAGTTACTTGGTACTGGCAGCATTTTCTTAAAGAGGAACTTTACATATAACTTAAAAAAAAAAAGCAAAGGCAAATTTAGAAATGTTTAGTAATGACTAGGGATGCACCAATACTGGTTTTCCAGTACCGGGTACCGATATATTTTTTCGGAACTCGTCGATACAGAGTATCGGTGCCGTGTGCCCAGATTATCAGAAAGTCAAGTGTTGGCTCATGGCCCGCCGCCTGGCTTCCTGATTGCCTGTGAAGCCGGTGTTCTAGCGGCCAGCGAGTCATGAGGTACCGTCTGGCTTCCTGAATGGTCAGGAAGCTGGGCTGCCTAGCAACAAGTGAAGCCGGCTTCCTAACCAACCAAAAAGCTGGGCAGCACGTCATAACCTGCCTCCAGGCTTCCTGATTGGCTAGGAAGCCGGAGTCCCTGGTTGCTAGGTAGCCTGGCTTCCTGACCAATCTGGAAACCAGGAGGCAGGTCATTACATGCCGCCCAGTTTCCTGATTGGTTAGGAAGCCAGGCTGCCTAGCAACAAGTGAAGCAGGCTTCCTGGCCAATCAGGGAGGCGGGTTCTAACCCCTTGCCCGGCTTCCTGATTGGAAAGGAAGCCGGACCATGCTCCCTCGGCACTTGCGGTCAGAGGGAGATCTCCCTTTGACCGAAAGTTCCGGTATCTGAGGTAACTATCGGAGCATTTGGGCGAGTACGAGTACTCGCCCCAATTACTCGGTATCGTAATTGATACTAGTATCGGTGCATCCCTAGTAATGACAATCTCTAAATTGGCAGTCAGAGTGGAAGATAAACCGACAGGTTGGGGTAAAGAGTTCGAGAGGATGGGAGAGACCTTAGAGAAGTCCTGGAGGCGAACATGGGAGGAGTTGACGAGGGAGCTGCCAAGCAGGAGGTCTTTGGAAAAGCAGAGGGGACGGTTAGTGTGATACTTTGAGACAAGGTTTGAGATGTATCCGGGGGCAAAGTTGTGGATGGCTTTGTAAGGGGTTGTTAATATTTAGAATTTTATCCTTTGGGCGAGTGGAAGCCAGTGCAGGGATTGGCAGAGGGGGGTTGCAGACACTGAGTGGTTGGTTAGGTTGATGAGTCTTGCAGCTGCATTCATAATAGACTGAAGGGGGGATAGACTGTGTAGAGGTAGGCCAATGAGGAGGGAGCTGCAATAGTCAAGACGAGAGATAACAAGGGAGTAGATGAGTAGTTTTGCAGTTTTATTGGTGAGGAAGGGGTGTATTTTGGAAATGTTACGAAGGTGAAGGCGGCAGGATTTGATTAGGGATTGGATGTGGGGCAGAAAGGTGAAGTCTGAGTCCAGGATGACACCTAGCACCTTGGCATGGGGGGAGGGATGGATGGTTGTGTGATCAATCAATCAATATTCCCATTTTGATCACTTTGATGCCTATAGGTGACTTGCATCCAGCCAACAAACCTCAGGTGGGAAGAAGTAGTTTATGGACAACGTTGTGCTGTTTAACTAAAAATAATATTATTCCCCAAAGTTAGGAGGTGCTTTATGTGTGTATTGAACAAACAAGGCATGCTGTTAAAAAAATTTCAGCAGCCAAGACGTTTTTATGTCAGGAAAATTGCTATCTGATGTCTGTGGCAACATTTTTTTTTAAATTTAGCTTAAAGTAGACCACAAAAGATTATTTGTTATGTTAAAGGGAACATTTAGAAATCATAATTGTGTCTAACCAGTACCCTTAAAATATACCTTTTTTGTCTGGAATTCTTCCTAACAAAAATAGCACTGCACTTTCAGGTATATGAGTGTGCCTAGGCACTCCTGTCCTGTAAGTAAAATATGGCTGTAAGGAGTGCACTGGATCATGTGGACTCTTGTTGGCGATATCTCACTAGATTGGGGAAAGTCAAGACTAGCAGGGGTGCTGGGGGCAGAGGGAGACTGCAATATAAGTGAAAACTGCAGGATACAGCAGTGGTATTTGGGTCAGAGAATGGAACCACTGTGAAGTGCGTGACAAAGGCATCTGATACTCCCAGATGTTTTGAATGCCAAAGACACTATTGGAGGCTGCAGCACTGGAACAGAGGAGATATGAGACAGGGGTCACCAGAGAGCTGAGCATAATAACTATTTTACTGCAGAACACCTTATTTTAAGAGCATTTGTTTCCCAGACAAGATCACTTTAAAACAACCCTATTATGTAAATTAAAACAATTCATTCTTATTAATACTTGAGCTGGATTGCCGTTATTAAATTTACACATACTTCTCATGATGAATTTTCATCTGTAGTAAAACTTGCTCCTGTTTCCCTGTGTATGCTGTACCTGAGCAAGAGCAGTATCCATTAGCAATATGTGACCACTCAGAGGTTGTCAAGAGTCTGAGGTACACATTGGGGAATTTCCTTGAAACTGGGTGAACATGTTTTGTGCCACAGATCTGGTGCTGAGTTTTATTAACTGAACACAGAAGGATGTGTTTAAATAGATATATAAATATGTATTCTCCATGTACTTTTTAATTCTGCATTTATTTCTATCTCGGTGTCCTTTATATCATTTTACTTACTGATACTGCTATGCTTTTAAAGCATATCTTAACCTGAAAAAATTTAGCCAATTGCAGCTTACCAGTCCTGGTAACCCTGCGAATAACACATTTTCCTAGGGTGGCCACTCTCACTCCTCTGCTGTATTTATGGAGGGTGCCTTGGCTGCCACACAGGCTGCACTTCAAGTAGGCTTGACCTCTGCCTTTGTTTGTCTCCATTACTTTGTGTGTGGGGAGTTTACAGAGGGATAACATTGGTTTATGCTCCCAGTTTAGCTCACAGGAAGTGATAAAGAAGACTGCCCCACAATATAAGGGGTAAATGCTAATTTTGTCTATGGTATGATGAATTTGTCACTCTCCCCTCACAGTTGGTATTCTCCTTCTCTCTCCAATGCTTTCAGAATTTATGCAGCACTACAAGGTTTCTACCTGCGGAAGCGCCAATCCTGAATATTCACAACTTCTCTAACTTGGTGCTCTCCACCAGATGCCCCAAAACAATGAGAATGCTCTTATTAGCCTTTGAGGCATTCTTATTAAGATACAGTTGCCCAAGCTGGATAAGACAAGGCTGTAATTCAGTGTGCATCCAGTATAGGGAGGCATCCCAGGCACATAGGGGTGGTTTTGTACTAAATTAATGTGCAGGTGCCTTGTAGGTACATTTATTCAACAGGTCAACAGGATTAAATTGAACACATTATAAATCTTGATGGGCTCCCTTTATCGTCTGCTCCTTCTTCTCATATTATACATTTTTGTTCCATACATTTGTACATAAAGAACTACTGAATATGATTTTCATTTAAAACCTTGTGAAGAATATATTCCTTAAATTTTTCCAGATAACTTCTTCTTTCATTCAACTGAGCATTACAACCAGACTGACCTATATATTGAACTGACACATACAACACTAAGGGCTATGCTCGTGAGAGCTTTCAATTTAGAGATAAAATATATCAATTGTAAGTTCAGCTGAGCAATACATCCGTGGAAATATAGACTGTTTCACAGGCCAGAAAACAATACTTGCAGAATCTACTGATGTCATAACAGATTGTCCTGCTTACTTGACCGTGGTAAAAGCAAACACATAATGCTTTCCTAGCTCTGTCAAAGGTTTGACATAATTACTTGGCTGTGTCAAAAACACCTTTATTACAGTTTAGTTTTTCCTGCAGTTAATGTATCAGTTTGACCAAAGGATAAAGTGAATTTCTGATAGACTTAAAGCTGAATATGTCATACTATAATGATCTAAAGAGTTATTAATGTGAGAGAGCAGAACCCAAGCATTTCCGTTCTCTACGATCGAGCATTTAAAGAGGCTTGTTCTTTGGAATCGGGCCCAAAAAGGGCAGGCAGAAGGCAAAGGACTAGTTGCCAGAATTGCCTGTAGGCTCACTGTAGCGGATATGTTCTACATTACTGACTAACTATTGCTTGTTTGACATGTAACTGTGTGGAGGTGGCCATCTTTGTGGAGGAGCAGGGTTTTGCTTCCTTTTCCTTCTATCAGAATAGATCATATCAAATGACACATAAATAAGCTGTCTCTATTATAAGTACAGATGTGGACACATTTGTTGGTACCCTTACAGCTCATTGAAACAATGCTTAATTCCTCCTGAAAAGTGATGCAATTGTCTCATGTATACCTGCATTCCTTTTGTCATAAAGCAAAGAAGATACATTTTGCCTACAAAAATATTCTAAAATGGCCTGAACAGATTTGTTGGTACCCCTGGTAAAGATAATTATTAAGGGCCTGTTCACACAAAATCTGGACCAGATTTGCAATAACTTCTGCACATGTAGTGCAGTGTGTTTTTGCCATGGTCCGGTCCGTTTTTTTTTTTTCCTTAATAGGCTTTCAGTGCGTTTGCA